CTATGAATTAAATATCATATTAGAACCACTTCATTGAGATTGTCATAAAGATTAAATTATTTAACACAGTCAATTCTCACTCCAGTACCTGGTGCATAGTGAGTGCTCAAGAAACATTATCATCATGATTTTTTTTCCCTTGGTAGCACTTTCATAGCCACAGTTAAACAATGAATTAAGTAACCAATTCTTTAATAATGTCTGTCAACTCCATTAGACTCCAAGCTCCATAGAGACAGGGACCATTGTCTTGTTTACTGCCACTTCCCTGGCACCTCATATAACACCTGGCACTTGGCAGGATTAATACATGTTTGTCCAGTGAATGAATGCACGAATGAGTAGATGGGCAAGGCGATCAATAGATTTACTTATGGAATACTTGCCACAGTAAACATATGTAAGCAAGAGAGCTCCGGGCCTCTATTGAATAGGAGTAGGTGTTCAAGGAAGTATTTACTGCATGCAGATCATGAAGTCAGCCTTTTGCCTAGGCCTTGAAGGCTGGGAATAGTTTAAATATGCAGTGACTGTGTTGGGTCCCAGTCAGCTGAGGGACGAATGTTAATGATCTAAATAAACAGTAGGATTATCATGGCTTTGCCAAACACCACAAAAACAGTTTGACAATAACTATTCTTCTCTACTCCTGTGATTAGTTCTCAAAGATTGATTTTTGTTTCATTTTTTTAACTTTTTCATAAATACTGGAATATCTCTTGCATTATTTTAGATTCTGAAAAAGCAAACAACTTCAGTTGTGAAAATATGATGTATGTTTTTTAAATACACACACTCAGAAATAAAATCCAGGTCATGGTGGGCCTTGAGTATCAGTGAGAATGCCTTTATTCTGAAAGCAAGGAACTTTTGAGAAGCATGCTTCAGGTAGACCAATCTTGCATGGGAGTTGGGCAGAGGCAAAAAAAAGGAAAAAAGGCAGCCATTGCCATGAAGAACGTAAGGGGCAGGGAAGGCCTAGACTGGGTAATAAGTTAGAAGTGAGGTGAATCAATGAAGAGTCAATTACAGTTAAGCTCAAAAGATAACCTGAATGAGACTGCATTTGAGTTGAAGTAACTTGAAGTAACTATAAGGAATATGACTTTTAAAACAGTAATGGGACCTTCAGAGGCCAACTCTTCTACCTCAGTTTTGAAATCATTGAGTTCTGTCAAATCTCTAGCTTTGCTAATAAGAAAACTCAGGCTCAGAGAGTTGAAGCGACTTGCCTCATATCACAGAACTAATTAGTGGCAAAGTGAGGCTAGAACTCATGTTACCAGTTGCCTGGTTATATGTCCATATGAAGAAATGTTTCCATTTATTATTGTTGGTATTCTACCAAGGTCTCTTAGCTCAGGTGGTACCTTTTTCCCCAAAGGAGCAGACTGCTTGGTTTATAATTTTGCTACTACCACATATTAGCAGTGTGGCTGTTGTGAGCTAGTCACAGAGATTCTGTTTCCATATCTGGGAACTAGGGATAACTTAGTGGTACCATAGGGCCACTGAGAGCATTAAATGGGATAGTTCTTGTAGAGAGCTTAGCACCATCCTGGGACTCGGTGAACACCCCATAATGATTGGGGTCTGTGATCATTATCACTATCTACAGTTTTACTCAATCCTATAATAAATGGTTCACCTGATTTTAGGGGAATATAATCAATGGAATTTTAAGAACCATTGGTTGATCTCTAGAATCCAGCATCTAGCTGCTTTGAGATACTTGGCTCCCACTAGTGCCTAATTTTTCTCATCTGAAAAATTGACAGCGGTGGGGGCAGAGGAAGAATGTGTGGAAGAAGGGTGGTAGAAGATGAGGTAACATTGGGAAGGCAGCACTACTTAGAACCTAACAAGTCAGTCATTTTCACAAAGAATCCCATTGTTGCTCTACTGGAAGCATCTTGGCATCCACAGTAGAAGGTCAACATTGGGTCACTGGACTTCACAAATGTGAGGCCGTTTTGTGAATATGCATTGAACCCTGCAAGGCACTGGAGCCCATTTATTTTCTTCTCTGCTCTCTATGACTTCTTCACCCCAAATATAATTGGGGAAGGCCAGGGCTGCTGAAGGGTTCTAAGAAAGGTGTTGTTTCTAGGGTTTGGGAGAACAGACCAAACCTTTAGTGGTAGTTCCTGGGACATTACCACCCTGCAAGTGAATGTCATTACTGACTGCTTCAAGAAACTCAGACCCCTCACTCTCTAAGTGCCCAGCTGCTGAGAAACCCAATGAGTCATTCTTGGCATGTGATGTCAGTGGTGTTTTCTTTTCCTCTCCATTTGAACTTCACAGACAAGGAGATTGAATCAGAGGAGACCAGGAAGTTGCTCAGCAACCCAGGGATAATCCTGAGGGTTAAGTCATATTTCCTAGCCTTTTCTAGGAGACAGCCAGCTCATGAAGGTTCTTGAATTTTAGTGGAATGTCTAGTATTTTATTAATTTAAAGAGACAAAGAGATTGGGAGTGACTTCAGATAATTTTCTTTTTCTTTCTCTTCTAGAGTCTCTCAGTCTTTGCCCTTTATTTCAGAAATTTTAGAATTAATATGAACTTCTAGAGGCTTTACAATTGACTGCCTTGAGTGTGGAAAGCTGTTTGATGTTTTTGTTTTTGTTTTTGGTTTGTTTGGTTGTTTTTGGTGGTACTAGGGTTTGAACTCAGGGTCTTGAGCCAAATCTCGACCACTTGGGTAATACTGCCAAGCCCTGCTCCATCTTTTTAACTAGGCAAATATAGATTCTTTTCCCCTATTAGTTAAGCTACACAGTCTCCACTGGCTTCCTCACAGGTGAGAACACCTGAGTTGAAGGATTTGTGTAAGACTCCTGATATAGCTAAGAGAAGTTTGACTTCAGGTCTTTTCCCCAAAGTAACTGCAACTTCATGTTGAAGTGATCTGTTAGTTTGTGCATTATTTCTTTTGGTCAAGTTCATGCCACACTGGTTGTTAAATATTTTTACTATTACCTCCCCTTGGAAGTGGTGGCTTTTTTTTTCCTTCCAAGTGGAGAATCTCCCATTTTTGTTGTGTCACAGATAACTGCTTATCATTCCTCTGCATCCACAGAACACACCATTCCCCATGGTGGTATCCCTTCTACAGCTCTAGTTCTTTTGGCTTGTGATTTGCTTTTCATTTGTTTGTTTGTTTTTCTTTTTTTTTAACAGCAAAAAGAAGAATGGTAATTGTATCAAGAATTATCTCATGAAAGGCAAGGGGTTGTGGAGACAGAACAATATTGACCATTTTTCTATGAAAAAGAGAGCTAGACATGCCATTTGGTGATGATATAAGTCTTGCTAATTTTGGTCAAAAAAGGGGGTTGTTCACTGCCAACATTGGGAAATGGTGGAAGATAGGGAACCTACTCTAGCTCTTCCAGTACCTGAGTCCTTCTAAGTGTCAGATAGTAAGGGAGGCTCATTAACTATTTAGTTACTAAGTCATATGCCCTTAATTAATTGCCTTAATATAGAACCAACTAGTATAAGGCAATAAATTAGGGACTGAAAAGATTAAGTTGCTTCCTAAGTATCCGAGTCATCCCAGGGGCAGTTGCTATCAGCAGTCTAAATCTGCCTATCCTATATCCCAAAAGCCTTGCAACCAAGGAGGGAAAACTTCTAATGCATTGTTATGATTTCCTTATAGCAGACGCATCTGGTCTTAAAGCTCTATTACTGTAACCAAAGTTTCAAAGCATTTTTCCAAACCCACTGACTTGCAGAATTTAAAAAATGTCTTTGATTGCCAGATTTGCATATTGGGTCTGTTTACCAAGACCTCGTGCTTCCCTCTTTTCTAGTGGGAAAAAGGAAAAGGCAGCAGTTGGCAGCTGGTGATTGAAATACAGTTTTCCCTCATGTGTAAATCTTGGCCGTTGTCAGTGTGCCATCTTGGCCAGGGTTCTCTGGGCTCTCTTCAGTTTTGACTGGGGCTGCCCTTCCTGATAACTGCCCTCTGCATTCCACTGACGTCTGAGTGATACTCCTTGCGACCTGCTCCTTGTGGCTTTTAATTTCATCTCTACTTCACTCTCTGAGAGAATTAGAGGGGTATAATTTTCCCCATTTTAGAGTTCGGGAAACTTGGGCAAAAAAAAAATGAGTGACTTACAGAGATTCTGGGTTCTAAACCATATCATCCTTCTCAGTCTACTGATCTTTTCAAAAGAACACATGGGCATGGAAAGCCAGTGAGGAAGAATATTGCACAAAGTCAACTGCCTTGGTCGTCAGATGCAGTAGGGTTGGGATTTTTCCATGCAATACTCTACTTTTAAGGGAAATGATGGTTAATCTGGGTACCAAAAGGCTCCATTATTCATTGCCAGCATTATGAAGAGATTAAAAAATTAATACATCAGACGTGACATATTATGATATTATCATTCTATGTATTGTGTACTATAATATTAAATAATGCTATAAAACCATTTTATAGCTAAACCCAGGAGTTTTCATACTAGTGTGGTTTTAGTGTATTAATAAGGGTCATGAGTTCAACTTAATTAGATGCTTCAAGAATTTAAAAAATAGGATAAGATGGGATAAGATAAAGCTGAAAATATTAGAGAACACTGCATGTAGCAAAAGTGAGGAATGTTCTCTGAATCCTTTTGTCTATAAATTCTGTCTAATGAATCACGCCATAAAAAGGTATTTCTTACTGTGTACCTCTTTCCTTTACTTGATTTCCTTCTCTTTCCTCATTTCCCCTTTTTCCCCTTCTTCTCCCCTTCTATTTATAGCAAATCTGCCCAAACACCTGCTACCTCTGTTCTACTTGTAAGTAGGTACCATCTTCACCCCACGCCATCCTTCTAGACATGACCATCTTTTCAAGTTGATTTCTATGTGCCTTGTATGTTCCTGTATTCAAAAGTTCCTTGTGTAGTGTGGCCTTTGAGAAAAGGCTTACTAATTCTTCTCTGTTTAATAAATAAATTGCTCTATTTCTAAGCCATCATATTTCCATTTCAGGCAAAACAATTCAAACCCGATGAAATGAAATCCCCAAGGAGAACCACTTTGTGCTTCATGCTTATTGTGATTTGTTCTTCCAAAGCTTCACTGCATTTGAATTCAGAGCCTATTGTTCATCCTTTGGTAAGTAAATCCACATCTGCTGTCATCACAGTTCTCTGAGTTCCTTGGAATGTCACAGATGGAAAATGGTTCATGAAAAGATGGCAGAAGGGTAGAGAAAATGTTGCAAGTGAATATGAATGATTGTTAATATATTTACTGGGCTACAACTTGCTATACTCTGAAGTCAGTGGTTTTACCAAGGAAATATCAACAGATCTTCAAGAGAGGTCTCACAGACTGGCCTCTTAGTGACATTGCCACCTCTAGGCTGAGGCTTCCATTCTTTGAATTTGACAATGACCATAAAATAGATTTGGATTGAGCAGAGAATGTATTCTTAAAGTGTTTATTCTAACTTGAGTATTACACTACAGCACACTTCAAAAGACATTAATTCCGGTGTGTGTCTCAATCACAGGTTGATATGGCTCGAGGGACCATGTATAGTATCTAATACCTTTGCTCACAAATTATCCAGATTGTTTTGTCTTTAGAAAATCAGGGAAGTTTAGTTCACATAAAGGGGGTGATAAGTACCCCTCACTCCTTTTTATTGAACTATTGATTTTTCCTTACTTAGGCTTCTCCATGAACCAGGGACAAAGCATGCTACTGGTTGGAAAGTTCTGGGAGTATGTAATTCTGCATCACACTTTCTTTGTCTGTAAAATTGTGTTAATAGTATTACTGATTTGCCATGATTTTCATGGAAATCAATTTAGCTAATGTTTGTTAGAGGCCTTAGAATAGTAAATGCTACAAAAGTATTTACTATTTTGTTTCTCCCACTGTGATAGTATATTTTCTACTGACCTTGCTGTTTTAATATTGTAGTTCTATTTTATTTCATCCATCACTATGGAATGAAATCTCCAAGAAGCAGTACAAAGTGTTTCTTTGTCTTACTTGGTACTTTATATATTTGACCCTTTGTTTTCTATTCCAATTGTCAATCCTGCTTTTGTATTTGTGTTTACCTGGTTTTTACTTGTTTTATTTTAACCTTGAGTATATCACTTTTCTTTAATGGTTCTCTTATGAGGGTTTTTTTCCTATTAAACTTAATCTGACCAAACTTGACTAATTCAGGGAGTATAATTTATTCACATCAGGTATATTTTAGATGCCTGGTCTTATTTCAGAATTTTGTTTCATGACTTCAAGCACTTTTTCCCTCTTTCTGCTTTTGAGTCTTTCATTGCTTGATCTAGTTTTCCTTAGTCTTTTTCTTTATTTCTTTTATGGAGGAGGGGCCATACATCTTCTCCCAAATGACAGTGTTCAGCATATCTACAGTCTGTGTAATAATACACAGTAGTCCGCTCATGTAATTAGAGAAGGGAAACATTTACATTCCTCCTGAATTCACTTGGTCATTATGCAGCTCTGGTTATTCAACATGTGTGAGGAGGAAGGCAGAGCTTGGGTAATCTCTTCAATGGGGTAATCTCTGCCTCTAGTGGAATCTCTTAGTGGTCCTGGCTGCGGCAATGCCTTCGCTCTGGGCCAGCTGATAGAACCCCTCCACTGCCTGGTGGCACAGGCTGCTCAGGGGATAAGCCAGTGACCTCTGAGATTGCTAGTGGAATTTGAACTTCATCTTCCTGGAAGCTCTCACCACCTGCCCCAAAAGATCCCACTTTTCCAATGTAGATCTACCATTAAATATATAAATATATATATGTTCATAGAACCCAAAGGCTGAGGAACCCCGGTGGACAGATGCACTTTAGCCTGATCAGCTTATGCTGCCCAAAGCTGCCACCTAGTCCCCATGACTGACCATCTATACTCTTAAATGCAGCATGCCACAGTGGGCTTTCTTTTTAAGTGGTAAAATACATGTAACAAAAATTTTACAATTTTCAAGTGCATAGCTCAGTAAAGTATTGAGTATATTCACACTGTTGCATAGAGAATCTTCATAGTTTTGTAAAACTAAAACTCAACCCCTTATACAATAGCTCTCCATTTCTCTCCTCCAGCCCTGCCGACCACCATTCTACTTTCTGTCTTTATGAAGTTTTACTACTCTCGGTACCTGATAGAAGAGACTCATACAGAATCAATCTTTTCATGACTGGCTTATTTCACTTAGCATGATGTTCTCAAGCTGCATCTGTGTTGTAGCATATATCAGAATTTCTGTCCTTCCAAGACTGCATATTATTGCCTTGTATGCATATACCACAGTTTGCTATCTATTCATCCATCAATGAACACTCGGGTTGGTTCTACTTCTTGATTATTGTGACTAATACTCATGATTACCACATACAAATAGGGGGTGACAGGCTTTTAAAGTATGATGATGCAGCTCAGTACTTATCAAACTTCAGTGTGCAAAAGCCTCTGGGAACCTAAAAAATGTAGATTTCAACTTGGTGAGCCTGAGATGTCCCCTTTCTGGCAACACTTGTCTACTTCAAAGACCATGATCAAAGTAGCAGGCTATACACATCCAACCTTGGCATCAGGCCTGGTTTGAAGTTCAGCTCTCATCTTCACAAGCTTTGGAGACTTCATTAAGTTTCCTTGTCTCATTGAATTTATGTTCTCTGCATGAAATGAGAAAAAATAATTTCTTCTTAGCTAGTTTGTTGTAAGGATTAAACTCTCTGGTATCTGTGCACCTTAGCACCATGACTAGCACAGAACTCAAGTGCTTCTGAATTAGTAGTTTAACTAAAAATTCTAGTACAAATAAAATGTGTTAATGCCCTTCTGCAAAGAGGTATTCTAGCTGGACTCCCTTGCCAAGATAATTGTACAAGATGGAGGCAGATGTTGAAATTCCAGATTGGTAGGGCTCTGATCAGGGGGGCTGAGACTTGGGACAGCAGGGAACTTTGGTGACCACCTGTCTGTCATCCTCTTTCTTGGAGATTTTGTTTTCCACATATAAAAAGCCACCTTTCATTCCTGACTGATTGCCACTCCCCCCAGTCCATGCCACTCCACTCCCATAAGAGTTATTTGGAAAGTTGTCCTGTCTGAAAGGTGGAGTGTTTCCTGGAATCGGTGACCTTGTCTCTTCTGGTTGGAGCTCTGCCATCAGGAAATCCCCTCTGGACAGAGCTGACCATTGTGGCTCAGATCCTCATCTGGTGACTCTGTACAGAACATGCAGAGGGACATCCAACTATAAGCTCTGCTTTCTTGTCTGAAGTGAATTGCACTGTGGAGTCATTGAGCCCCTGGCAGACCTGAGTACTCACGATGGCAAGGTCCAGCCAAGGGTGGTTCCCCGTGAACCCCAGGCCAGCAGGACACAGTGGCACTGCTACCCAAGATGACACCAAGTTCTTGATGGGCCTCTGCATAGATTATTGTCCGTAACATAAGAAACTGAGGCTTACGGGGAGTGAATGGCTTTTCCCACTAGTAAGAAGCTGAGGTAGTGGGAGTCAGTAAGTTCATGGCGTGACCCCAACATATGCTCTGTTCAAATCTGGGTCCCATGACCTGGCAGCCCAGCTCTTGGTACCTTCTCAAATCTGGGATGGCTGAGGGTGCTTACCAAAACCACCTCCAGCTCCTGGAGTCTTCTTGGCCATTAGTGTGCCTTTCCTCCCTTATCCCCATTGGTTGTGGGTCTTAAAGGAAAAGCAAGTTAGGCTCACAGAAGCTGTAAATCCTCACTGGACCAACAAAAGGCAGGAGAGGCAGGTATGTGAAAGCAGCATTTTGTAAAAATGTATCCAGAAAGTTCTAGATGGTCATTATAAAGATTCAAGAAATCTTCCAAAGGCAGTAATTCTCAAATCATGTCCTCACAGGGATATAAGTATTGGTTAAAAGGACATTTGTTTTCCTAGTCTTTCTAATTGAATCAGATGGATGGAAGCGAGGCAAGGGATTCTATTTCCACAAAGATTTGAAATACTCTACATTAGAGAATTGAAAATACACCTTGATTTTGACTTACCACACCTGGCAGCAAGACCTCAATTTTTTAGGCTCACTGGAAAACAAAGAGAATGAAAACTGGACCTGGGAGTGCTGTCAGAAGATGATTCCTGGAGGAGGTCACCCCAGGAACAGCCCAGGACTCAGACAAAGAAGCTTCCTGGTGGTCAGCCTCTTCCCACCTCCAGGCTCCAGGGCAGGAATGCAGAAAGAGCCTTCTTTCTGCCAGGGCACAGGGCCAAAGGCAACTGCAGGGGAAGCTGACAGGAACCACCCCATACATTGACCTTGCACCTTCAGTTCCTGCATATTTCAGTTTCTCTTTATAACTTCACTGTAAGAAGCAGCAACTGTGCTTTTGAAATTTCAACCATCATCCATCATGTCTCTATTTATTTAAGATTATTTCTGAACTCTCAGTTACACAGTCCCTTTCCACTTCCTACAGATTTCAAAGCTATCCTCAACCTGTGTATCCTGGGAGCCTGTTGTGGGGAACATACAAACCACATATAGTAGCTCTAAATGGCTGGCATCTGATAATTTCCCCAAAGCATGACTTAGTAAGGGAAAGGAGACAAGCCAAGGGAACTAGTCATTGTAAAGAAGGATGGAAGAAGATGAATAGTAGAGAAGGGAGAGAAAACTCCTGAGGTAAAGAGAAACTAGCTCACTGAAACAAGCCCAGTTTCTCAGGGTTTCCCCTGGTAAGATGATGTGATGCCCACATGGATAAGGGCAGACTTTGGAGCGAGGCTAGTTGAGTTCAAATCCTGACTCTGCCATGAAAGGCTGGGTAGAGTAGGCAAGTGATTTGACCTCTTGCACCTCTGTTTTCTCATCAGTGAAATGTGGATAATAATGCCTGCCTCCTCGATTATTCTGGAACAGAATGTGGAGCACACCTTAGGAATTCTGCTTGTTATTGTTATGAGTAAGATTGCTAGAAAATCATGGAAGGCAGGAAGCAGAATGATCTTTGCCTCGGGTGGTGTTTAGAGATGTGTGAAGTTCATGTAGGAATCTCTGTGACCAGGATTATCTGGGAAGATTTCTAAGAGGTGGGGCTCTTCCATTAAGTCTTGGAGGGAGCTTATATTGGAAACACATCACAGGAAATCTCATCTGCAGGGAGGAAGGCCATGTTAGGTCAAGGTAAGGGGTAGGCTGGGTTATCAGTTGTGAGCTGGCTCTGATACCAGAGCCAGTTGATCAATTCCAGTTCTTTATCAAAGGCAAAATGATGAAAGCAGATGAACTTCACAGAGATGAACAAGATGGCAGTGTGCAGACAGAGGTGATGGTATCCCAGAACGCTATAATGCCTGTTTCCAGATAGCTTTTGCTATGTGAACAAAACTATTCTCTCTTCTTTGCCTTTAATAATCATTTGATCTTTACAATGTCCTTATGAAGTAGACCATATTTAACCCCATATTGTTGATCAGGATCAAACACAGAGGTTTAAGTAACTTGCCTAAGTCACACAGCCATTTTATGATAGAGCTGGGATTTGAACTCAACATCTGCAGTCCTTGCCATGCTGCATGATAATAGCTGAAATTTATTTAGCACTTCCTGGGTGCCGTATTATAGTTCATTTGGTTCCTATGACAACTATGAAGTTGGCACTATTATTTTTTCCACTTTATAGAAAAGAAAACCGAGGCTCTTTGAAGATAAATAACTTCCCCAAGGTCACATAGCTAGTAAGTGACACAGCCTTTTATGTAAGCAATCAATTCGAGAGCTGACTCTTGCTGTCTCTACCTTAGGAGCAAAGAAGGAAAAAATAATTTCTAAGCAGGCACAATGGTTAAAAAGCCCTAATACAGCAGAAATATGGAGGTGGGGCCAGAATGAGTGCTGAGAAGAGGGGATTAGACTGTCTAATAGGTCACTGGCATGACTCAGGGTTCAAATCTACGTGGGAAACACCAGTTTAGAACATCATAATTTATCTGTCTTGACAGGGCTCAAGCTGCAGGAATACCAAGAAATTCAGATAAGGTGTTTTCTTCTGTTTCTGGATCTAGAAACTGGTCTATAAAAGGGCATTCCCAGGTCACACTACACAGATGACTCCACAGTGCTCTCACCAACCCCTGGGCATACATTGAGACCTTAAATCAGCAGCTGTAAGCTCAGCTCTATTGCCAAGGGGTGTAAGAGCAAAAAGCTACAGGGAAAAGATTTCTGTATCCTTAATGATGGTTTTCTAAAATATTTTTGCAGATTCTTCATGAACATGAACTAGCTGGTGAAGAGCCACTGAGGCAGAAGAGAGCAGGTATGTAAACTCCTTGCTTAGTAATCTCTTCTGTAAATTCAATCAAGTGTCATAGGTTATGGCTTTTTTAAAAGTCCATAATCCCCTATAATTCAGTCTCCAACACATCAAATAATGCAGCTTGATTTCCAGGAGTAATTATAAAGGAACTCCATTCTTATTTTTTTACTTTAGCAAGTAGCATGAAGTGGATAGCACCATGTGACAGTCCCTTTTCTCTCCAGTTGTCACCACAACCCGTCATATCCAGAGGATCTCCCTGTGTCTCTTTTCTTAATTACCATCCAACACCACCCCAAATCCTGCTTTCTCTTCCCAGCCCAGCAGCTTTCCTTCTCTTCCATATTTTTCAACTTCTCTTACTCAGCACTTTATTTGAAATCAACCTAACCAGTAGGCTCAAATCCTTCCCCTCTGTTTCCCACTCTAGTTTTCCTACTAAATTCCAAAGAAGCAGTCTGGAAAATGCAACAACACTCTGCCCTGTGGAAGTGCATGGCAGGTGGAGATCTGTGGCCAATGACTCACTGATCTTAGTGTCTTAGTACATTTTCCGTTGCTCTAATAAAATACCAGAGACCAGGTATTTATGAAGAATAGAAGTTTACTTGGCTTGTGATTCTGGAAACTGGAACTTTGGTGGCATGGGGCTGGCATTTGTTTAGCATCTAGTGAGGGCCTTCCTGCTGGGACATAATCAGGTGGTGAGACAAAGGCAGCAGGGGTCTCTCTTGCTGTCCTTATAGAGTCAAGAATGCCATTAAGACCCCACCCTCACTTCCTTATCCAATGCTAATCACTTCCCAAAGGCCCCATCTCCAAACACCATTAGAATGTGATCTTGGGATTAAATGTCCAACACATGAGTTTTGGGGGATACATGTTCTCTGTACATCTGTCAGGGTAAATCCCTCCCACCTCCATCACAGTAGTCTTTCAAAAGTAGAAGTCTGATCCTGTCATTTCTCTTCATAAAGTCCTCATGGGCTCCCCATTGCCTTGGAGCTGAAAGCCAGTCACTGATCATGTCTCACAGTCTGTACTGTGAGATCACCTTCCATTTCTTTTCACATAGAGTCTGACTGTCATCTTCTTTTGTTTGTCTGGGGAATTACTATTTCAGATCCGAGTCACCTGGGCTCCTCCTTGCAAGTCCTTCCATGGGTCCCTCAGGTCTTCAGGGACCAACTCTCCTGCATTCAATGGATTTCCATATCACAACATCTGTCCCAATGCATTGTAATTATTTTAATTCTTGTTTGCCATCGCCTGGAGATGGGTGCTCTCTTGAATCCGCCTCATCTCTATAGCCAGGCATATAGCTTAATTTTTCTCTCAGTAAATGAGCTTGCATGTTCTTGGTGAGTTCCTATCAGCAGAACTTTGCTTGCTTGAGGACTGTGCCACCTTTCTAGAAGGTAAAACTTCTTATCCTATCATAATATCTCTCAGGTATGTCATGACTTGATTTATTGTCTTGTGGTTGAAGAGACATAAGGCTGCCAAAGAGAGCAGGCTTGCCTTCAGGTTAGGGAGGTGTCTGTTAGAGCCTTTCACAGTGCAGTAACCAGAGCCAACTCTTACTCCATGCTGGAAATGAGAATTGGACCACATTTTATTAAGTTCTCGAAATGCTCCTTGGAAAGTCATAACACTACTGATTTTCCTTCTCTTCACTCTTATCTCCCTGTTTTTTCTCTTCTCTTCTCTTCTCTTCTTCTCTCCTCTTCTTCCTGCTCCTCCTCTCCCCTCCTCCTTTCATTGCTCTTTTATTGGTTTACCCTTTGCCTTAGACCCCATTTCCCCTTCCCCTCCTTTCCTGTAGCCCAGCCTGTACTTGCCATGCTCTAAAACAACCCCATGAACTCTGACAACCCCATGAACTCTCCTATATCCTGTGACAGGCACAGAATTAGAGATGTGCCCATTTACACTTTGAAAGATTTCCAGCTCTAGGTTTCCATCATGTTCTTTCAGGGCTCAGACTGCCAGCTTCCTCAGAGTAGCTGGCAACCCTACAGCTGTAAAAGTTTACATCTTCCTGAACCTACGAACCTAGCTGTTTAGGGCTCATGGCATCATGAGATAACTGTTGGGGAGGAAATACTTTCACATCTAAGGATTTGACATTCCAAAAATTTTCCAGGAATGCTTTCATTAAAAACAATCATAAGGGTAATAAGTCACCATGAAACATGGTTTCCATGTATTATATGTGGTCTTCTGTGCTTTTGGGCCTCTAGAATCATTTGAGAACTGTTAATGAATCAGCACATCATCTGCAGAAGATGGATTGGCCCTTATGCTTTTACAAAATCACTAATTCATGAAATGACATAGAGAGATCCAGTGCATGGGCCTGGCTAGCAGGAATGTAAATAAATTGTGATTAAAAGCATGACCGTCCAGGAAGAGGATGACAGAAAAGCTATAGGCACGTTATGTTCTGCAGGACACAACATGAAAAGATCTGCACTCTGCTTGTGTGATAATTAAGTGAGGTGTTAGGATACAACTCTGATTTTCAGAACTAGTCCCTTTCTTGACAACAGGAGGATATAAGGGTTCCAAGGGAAAGAAAATTAGGTCAGCAATTTTCTTTTCAGTTATGGGACCAAATCTTTACAGTTTGTGATAAAATCATCTTTGAAGGTAGAATTAATACTTGTTTATTTTCAGCATTTTATGGAACTCCTACCTAAGTGACTTTACTCAGTGGTATAGTGTCATTGGCTTCTTGATATCTATCTCATCTATTTCATAGATAGATATTATATATGCATCATACATATTGCACATATATATGAGTTATTAAATTAAGGGTTGTTGAGGAGGATTAAATATTATTTATGTATATATCATTTTGTAGATATTAATAAGATCATCTTTAGTTTATTTTCTTCTTTTAATAAATGTTTTAAAAATTAAAAACAAGCCAATTCATTTATTAATAAAAATAATACTGCATTTGAAGGGTCTGAGCTGGCCTGCCTGAACTGCTCAGAAGCAGAGATCAGGGAGATTACAGTTTGAGACCAGCCAAGGCAAAAAGTTAACAAGACTCCCATCTCAACCAACAAGCCAGACATAGTGGCACACCCCTGTTATCCAGATATATAGAGGCATACCTATGCAGATCTTGGTACAAGGCCAGCCCCAGGAACAACTGCAAAGAGCTTGCCATGACTCAAGTGGTTCAGCACTTGCCTAGCAAGTGAAAGTCTCTGAGTTCAAACCCCAATACCACCAAAAAAAAATAAAAGAGGGAGGAAGGGAAGGAAGGAAGGAAGAAAGGAAGGAAAAAAGGGAGGAAGGAAGGAAGGAAGAAACTGATAAATTCCTAGCATACAGAAGTTACCCTGCACCAGTCCCTTGAAGGCAGGAGGATCAATGCCATGATATAGGAGTTGGCATTTTAGGAAAACTCTTTCCAAACTCTGCTGGGGAAGGGAAGCTTACATAGAATCCCAGAGACCAGACACAAGAGTAAGTGTGGAGCTACCTGTTAGAGAATTGGGGAGCAGAGGGAATTAGAAACTGGGGGAAAGTATCTAGAATCCTGCTGAGGTTCCATCAGGAAGTGAATTCTAGACCAGCTGGGAGGCTGGCACTGAGAAGTCACTTAGGAAAGCCTTCTTCAGTGGCAATGATCCAGGTGGCTATGGCTGAGCTAACTAGATGAAGGAATCTGTGCCTGGGAGACCAACTGGAAGACTCAGCAATGGAGTAGGATAGTAATGAAGCAGAGGACATGCTTGTCCATGACAATTTCAGAAGTAGAATGAAAGAGCTTGGAGGTAGATACAAGTGTGACATGGGACAGAAGATATGCAATGGTCCAGGGATGGCCACAAAGAGGGACCTGGGTTGAAAGGTAAAGCTGATTTTAGAAGTTTGCAGATAAACTGAAAATTTGGTCTCAAAGGTAATCTTCTTTGGGGACTTAAAGTGGGCATTTTTTGTTGTTTGGGGACAGGGTCTCACTGTGTAGCCCAGGCTGACCTCAAACTCAGGATCTTCCTGCCTCAGCTCCAAGTACTGGGATTACAGGCTACCACAACCGACTTAAAGTGGACATTCTTATTGCTTAGAAATCACACAAATGCCAAGTGCGTAGCTCTTGGTTGGGCTTCTGAGTATCTCGAGGCCTGACACTGAAGTCCCCATCATTCTTCCTTGGCTTCAAAAGGAATGGCTGGTAGGAGATGAAAGGGCAAGGGAGTGAGGTCCAGGATGCCCACAGCCTGTGCTGGATGTGCTAACATTTTCACACCTTTCAGCCAGGGCAACCGACCTATCAGATCAGGTCGTTTGCTGCCTGTGCAGAAATCCTAACATTTTTTGTAGACTTAGCAGTTCCAGTGTGCTGGCTCTTTTAGATTTGGGTCTAGGAAATGTGCATGTTCCAGTTTGAGAAACAGAGTTTTGGGGTTTTATGGCTATCATCTTTCTTGTGATACATGTGGTGTAGTGCTCTCCGTGGGTAGCATGATGGTGAGAGCAATGAAAGTTGGGTGTTCTCTGCCTGATAAGTGGGCTTGACCTTGGTCTGATTTTGGTCTTAGACTTGTCATCGAATGTTGGGAGTGTTGTTTTTTTCTTTTTTTAAATAAAAAGCTGATGAGTTTTCTTCTTTTTTGTTTTCTTAAACATTTTAATGGTAACACTTGATCAGAATAGTGTTAATTTGTCTGGGACTGCCAGTACACATCTGTGAAGAATGTAATCATGCCAGACGCTTTGCTGGGGTGTTTTTTCTTAAAGATAAAACTTTTATTTAGGTAAAGTGATGGCTTAAAAACACATCTCTACTTTGCTATTTGCTGTGTAAAAGGTCACAATGCCCACTTTTTTTTTTTTGCTCTGGTTTTTTTTCTTTACTCTCATGTTGTTGAAATGCGGGCACATTGTGACATTTGCAAAAGTGCTTACAGTGTATCTTAGTTAAATCCCAATTCCTTAACAACAATCCTGTAGAAAAATGATTGCCCCTAATTTAC